TAGTAGTAGTAGGGGGTAATAGTAATAGTACTAGTAGTAGTAGCAGTTGTAGTAGTAGTAGTAGTAGTAGTAGTAGCAAGACCACTAGTAGAAGCAGTAGTAGTAGTAGTAGTAGTAGTAGTAGTAGTAGTAGGCAACAGTAGTAGTGATGGCAACAGTAGTGGCAGAAACAGTAGTAGCAGTAGTAGTAGTAGTAGTAATAGTAGTACCAGTAGTAATAGTAGCAGCCGTAGTGGCGGTGGTGGTGGTAGTAGTAATAGTAATAGTCGTAGCAGTAGTAGTAGTAGTAATACTGACAGTAGTAGGGGTAGTGGTACTAGTCGCAGTCGCCGTAGTCGTAGTTCTACTAGCAATAGTAGTAGTAGTAGTAGTAGTACTAGTAGTAGTAGTAGCAGTAGTAGTAGTAGTAGTCGTAGTAGTAGTAGTAGTAGTAGTAGTAGTAGTAGTAGTAGTAGTAGTAGTAGTAGTAGTAGTAGTAGTAGTAGTAGTAGCAGTAGTAATCGTAGTAGTAGTAGTAGTAGTAGTAGTAGTAGTGGTAGTAGTAGTAGTAGTAGTAACTAGTAGTAGTAGTAGTAGAGTAGTAGTAGTAGTAGTAGTAGAAGTAGTAGTAGTAGTAGTAGCAGTAGTAGTAGTAGTAGCAGTAGCAGTAGCAGTAGTAGTAGTAGTAGTAGTAGTAGTAGTAGTAGCAGTAGTTGTAGTAGTAGTAGTAGTAGTAGTGGTAATAGTAGTCGTAGTCGTAGAAGAAGTAGTAGTAGTAGTAGCAGTAGTAGTAGTAGCATCAGTAGTAGTAGTAGTAGTAGTAGTAGTAGTAGTAGTAGTAGTAGTAGTAGTCGTAGTAGTCGTAGTAGTAATAATAATAAGAGTAATAGCGGTAGGAGGAGGAGGAGGAAGTGGAGGAAGAGGAGGAGGAAGAGGAGGAGGTGTAGTCGTGATATTAGCCTCACTCCTTCTCCGTGTCCTTCACGTCTTCGTGCCCCTCCTCCTCGTCCGCATTTCCCTTCTTCGCTTCCTCGTTCTCCTCCTCATCGGCATGCCCGCTCTCCTTATTCTTCTCCGCCACTTCTCCTCCTCCTCCTGCTCCTCCTCCTCCTGCTCCTCCTTCTCCACGCCCTCATCCGTACTGCTCCTCTGTCTCCGCTTCCTCTGTGTCCACATCCTCTCTATCCTGGACACTCCCGCTCCACCCCCCTCCCAACACATGTGTGGCATCATGGATCTTATCATAATCCGCCTCCTTCTCCCGCCTCTCCCCTGATCCACCGTCTTCTTCCCCCACCCCCCTTTCCCCACCCCCCCTCCCGTCCTCCCCGTGCACCACATCTTCCGCCTCCTTATCCTCGTACTCCCTCTCTTCACGCTCCTCTCTGCCACTAATCCTCGTCGTCCACGCTCCACCTCCTCCTCATCCTGCTCCTCCTCCTCCTCCTCCCATTCCTCCTCCTGTCCTCATCATCATCACCATCAGCAGCAGCATCATCACCACCATCATAATCATCGTCATCATCAGCATCACCGGCAGCATCAGCGGCAGCATCACTACCATCATCATCATCCTTGTTATCGTCATCACCGTTGTCGTCGTCATCCACATCGTCGCGAGCATCATCATCATCAGCATCGACATTACCATCATCATCATCAGCGTCATCATCAGCAGCCTGATCATCATCAGCATCATCATCATCAACATCAACATCACCAGTATCATGTTCAGCATCATCATCATCGCAATCGTCGTCATCATACTCATCATACTCATCATCCTCTTCATGGTCCCTGCTCTACGCGAGCTCGATTACTCATCGTCTCATACTCATCATCCTCCCTGGCCACCCCACCTCCCTTCGTCTACCTTCAAATCGATCGTCCCAATCTTCCCTCCTATCTCATCCTCCCCCGTCCCCGCTCCAATGGCCGAATCCCCCCTCGTCGCTCCGCCTCCCCCCTCCCCCATCCACCTCTCCTCGCCCTCCCCGCGACCTGCGGCATCTGGTTCGTGGGGACGAGCGAGATGCCCGAAACGGAGAAGCCGCGCACGCCCTGGGTGAAGCCGCGGATCTGAACCTCGTTCGCCGCCTCAATGTAGACATAACCTGCTCCCACGGGCCGCCCTGGTGGTGCACATCACGAGGGTGAACAGCAAAACTCGCACGGTTGACCTCTGGCTGCCTTGCTCGTGCGAGGCAGGGCATCAGCGCACAAATACCGCAGCCGATGTTGGCGCAGAAGAGGACCTACATCCCGAAGCGGGTCGCCGTCAACAAAAAATAGCTCGGATCGGGACTGCACCCAGGCCGCTAAGAAAAACCTGCCCCCAGGCCACTTCAATCGCAGACATCAAGAGGAGGAAGTTGGGACTCTGGGAGCAAGATAGCGACAATAGGGGCGCAGCCAGGGGCGACGATGGTGAAAACGACGGTGGCGGCGACGACCACGACGACGACGGCCACGGATACATGGCTGCACGAATGAGCTGTGGCATCCGCGGGCAGGAAGCTCACAGAAGACCTGCAAAGAGTCAGCAGATAGAAGACCGAACCTCAGGCAAGCGGAGGATTCTGAGAAGGCTAACCCGATCAGGTTTCACTGGCCAGCACCGCGACAATATCTTACGAATTCGATGGCCCGCTCTGCGCGTGCGATCCAGTATACGCGCAAGTGCGCTGGAACCTGGGCTACAACCCCAAGACTGCCAACGAGGTGCCGGATCATACCAAAGAGGGGGGTCGCATCCACCAGCATGGCTACTCACGGGACAGCTCGTCGCCTGGGCCCCACCGACAGCCCAAACGGCGAGCACACATCGGGCGGAGCCCTGTGGAAATTGTCCGGGGGATCGCAGCCGCCACCCACGGTGTGCGAGGAGGAGGAAGAAGAGGAGCAGGATCCCAGATCCAGATGATTGTATGTTCGCTGCCTCTGGGGGTGCCCTCATCTCCAAAGCTGGGTGCGCCTTGGAGTTCTTATCAGAACGGTCTCCTGAACAGGCCAGGGGGGAGAAGAAGGGGGAGGGGGGGAGTATTGAGGGAGGAAGACGAGGAAGAGGATGATGACGACGACGATGACGACGACGACGACGACGACAACGACGACGTCGAAGACGCGGAGAAATCAGCAAAACACCCGCAGACCTATCCTACCTTCCTGCATCTCCCTGATGTACCTCTATCTGCCTCTCTCTCTCTGCCACTCACTGCCCATCATCCCGCATCGAGGAGAACGCGTGCCTCCGCTCCTTCCTGGTTTCCATCCTGCGTTCCCGGCCTCGAAGATGAGGCGAAAAGAACACGGTGGAGATCGGGATCTGCTTGCCAGCCTCCAAGGTCTGCACCGCCTTCACCATCATCGATATGCACAGCTCCACCTTGGAGGGACCAGAAGCAGTAAGGCAAAAAGGGAAACACCAGACATGCCTCTTCACCTGGGAAACGACAGGAACGATACTTACCCTTGCTGCTACACGTTCTCCACCTCCTTCTCCTCCTCCACCTCGTCCTCCTCCTCCTCCTCCTCCTCCTCCTCTTCCTCCTCCTCTCCTTCTCCTCCTCCTCCTCCTCCTGCTCCTCCTCCCTTTCCTCCTCCATCCTCCCCCATCCCCCCTCCTCATCATCCTTACTAGTCTCCACCCTCTCCTCCTGCCTCACAGTATGAACGATGAGGAGGAGGAGGAGGAGGAGGAACAGGAGGAGGAGGAGGAGGAGGAGGGAGTATGGAGGACGGGGGATGGAGGCGGAGAAAGAAAAGGGAAGGGTGTGTTGCAGAAGATCCAGCGTATCTGAAGGCAGCGTGATAACGATGGAGGAGTATGGAGCAAGGACGATGGAGGAGGATGCAGGAGAAGGACGATGGAGGATGGAGGATAATTGAGCCAGGAGGATGGAGAGAAGCAGGATAGAGCAAGGACAACGACGGGGGAGGATGGAGCAAGCAGGATGAAGGAGCACGAAGAAGGAGAGGGATGGATGAGGAGGATGGAGGGAAGACGGAGAAGATTGAGGGAGGATGGAGCCGGAGGGATAAGGATGAAGAGCGAAGGAGGAGGAGGAGGAGGAGGAGGAGGAAGAGGAGGACGGAGGAGGAGGAGGAGGAGGAGGAAGAGGAGGACGGAGGAGGATGTAGGAGTATCGCAGCAGACTCGCCCGCCTCCGGCGCAAACGTCTTGTTGCACCACAGCTTCGGGTCCTGCCGACAAGCGGCGTCCCGAGGCGAGGGGGCGAGGCGTCCGGGTGCCCTCCGAGCGCAGCGCCGACCGTTCCGCTGGCCCTTCAGCTGCAGCTGCTTGTTGAGGCTTTCAAGGAGATATTAGGAAATGTGGGATATGATGAGATATGAGGAGGACCCTGATACCTTGATCCTGATACCTCGGTCCTCACTCCTCGAACCTCGATGCAGGATCCTCGTGGGAGGAGGAAAAGGAAAAGGAGGAATGGGAGCTATGAGGAGTGAGGAGGGCAAGGTGGATTTGAAGAGGACGAGAAGAGGATTGTATGCCTTCGAGCACAAGGAGGCTGAGGAGGAGGAATGAGGAAGAAAGAGGAGAAGTAGGGGAGATTAGGAAGGAGGAGGAGGAGGAGGTAGGATGAGGAAGGAGGAGGAGGAGGAGGAGGTAGGATGAGGAAGGAGGAGGAGGAGGAGGAGGAGCAGGAGCAAGGCGGGAAGGGAAGTGAGAAGCGAGGAGGATGCCAGGGCTGGACCCTCGCATATCAATTGTCGTCATCTGCATGCTGTGAGGGATAGGAGGAGCGAGGAGCGAGGAGCGAGAAGTGAGGAGCGAGGAGTGAGAGGAAGGAGGCGCGAGGGGGACGTGGGGAGGGAGGCATGGAGTCCTCTTATGCATGCCTCCAGAGGCTTTCCAGGATTGTTTCACGACAGGAATGCCTTCATGAATGCTTGTTCACGCAGCTTGGACGCACTCCGAATAACCCCCAGATTCTCCAGGATTCCTGGCCCTGGGCCGTGAGGCCCAAGGCCAGGGCCGATGAGCGAGGGGCGAGGTGAAGAGCAGGGAGATCCTAACCAGACCCAGGGGGGGAGATCGATCGAGACTTGGTCAGGAGAGCCCTCGAGGGAGACGTCCCTGCGCGACTCAACCTAGGGAACCCACATCGTTCTTGCTCTGGTCGAGGCGCTCCCTGCCTCCCTGCGAGGGGCGCAGCGCGAGGAACGTGTCTCGAAGACGCTCTCCTCTCCTGGCCGAGGCGAGCCATCCCGGCCCCCGCCAAGGAAAAATTCTGGCCCCGCCGGCCGATCCCCACCCCCCAGTGGGTGGGGAGGGGTGCTGCCGCCTCCGCTGGGGCTTCGCGGCGCCCGTCCCCACCCAGGACGGGGGGGGGCACGCTGAGAGAGCTGACCTACCGGGATGCCAGGAGTCCCACGGCGGTGCCATGAGAAAAACCTTGCGGTGAGAAGCCGTGCGGTGACATCGAAAAATCTCCAAAGACCTCACCGCACGGTCCAAAGACCTCACCGCACGGTCTGTCACCGCACGGTTCGGGAGCCCTGGCCCTTGAGGCCCGTCGCCCGAGACATCCTCGGAGACCGGCCCGAGCCCCAAAACCTTGTAATCACCCCGAATCCCGACTGGCTCACCATACGGTGTGGTCACCGCACCGTTCGGGGGCCCCTGGGGATAGCTCTGACGACGATGGTCCTTGGGACGCACGGGGACATACTAGTGCTTTATGTCCTCCTTCGCGTCCGGCCCGAACAGATAGTATACCCATCTTGCAGCATATTGTTTCCCGAGCGGTGTGGCCAGGAAACGCCCGCCACGACGCATGCACCAGAAGACCTCTCGGTGCGTGCGTCGCCCCTGGGTGGGCGACGCGCACTCGGCAGAGCATGCCGGGGTGTCGCCGAGTCCTTCTCCATGTCGGGCACCACGAAGGCGTTCCTCGGGGCCAGCGGCTCCGACGCGCGCGGGGCCGCGGCGTCCGGGATCAGCCCGGCTGCGGCGTCCTGCGGGGGGGGCGTCGTCGTCGTCGCGGGCCGCCCTCGGAGGCCCTCGGCGGCTCGAGACGGGCCACGGGCGCCTCTGGAGGCCTCCCTAGGCGGCGGTCGTCGTCGCCGCCGCTGCCGCCGCCGCCGCCGCCGTCGTCGTCCTCCTCCTCCTCGTCCTCCTCCTCCTCCCCCTCCACCTCCTTCTCCTCCTCCTCCTCCTCCTCCTCCTCCTCCTCCTCCTCCTCCTCCTCCTCTTCCGCCGCCTCCATCCCTCTTCCTTATTACCAACTCCTCCCTCTCGCACTCCGAGGCTGGTCGAAAGGGCGGGCCGGGCGCTTAGCCTGAGACCTCCTCACCATGTACGATCCTGGAGCTTCAGATTTGTAACAACTGCACGGATGGAGGGCGGGTGGTTTTTCACAATGTGCCTCTCGCCTAAGCGCCGCGCACACTCGTCTTAAAAATGTGCGAGAGCTTCACGGACGACATTGATTCGCGGTATTGGAGTCCAAAAAAACGACGTTCTGGCACAGTTCCAGATGTTCAAACGGTTGTCTTCTCACGGGGCACCTCCCTCAACGATTTGAATTATGTAGCGGCCTATGAACATGGAACTTGGAGGGAGGGTCGACTGCAATATTGTTGATAAGCCTTAGGTTTACACTGGTCCTCCTCCTCCTCCTCCTCCTCCTCCTCCTCCCCTTCCTCCTCCTTCTTACAAGTACGCCTCCGCCGCCTCCATATCCTGTAGCCTCCTCATCCTTAGCCTTATTCTTCTTCTTCTTCTTCTTCTTCCAAGTACAACTCCTCCTCCTCCTCCTCCTTTTCCTCCTCCTCCCCTTCCTCCTCACCCTCTTCCTCCCGCCTCCTCCTCCTCCTCCTCCTCATCCTCATGATCCTGTTGCTCCTCCTAATCATCATCATCATCATCATCATCATCATCATCATCATCATCATCATCATCATCATCATCATCATCATCATCATCATCATCATCATCATCATCATCGTCATCGTCATCGTCATCGTCATCATCATCAGCAGCAGCAGCATCAGCAGCATCAGCATCAGCATCAGCATCAGCATCATCATCATCATCATCATCGCAACCACCACTACCACGACCATCATCACCGTCAGCATCATCGTCATCGTCATCGACCTCGACATCGTCATCGTCATCAGTCAGCAGTCGTCATCATCATCAGCATTGCCATCATCGTCATCATCATAATCACTATCATCATCAGCATCATCATTACAATCACCACTGTCATCACCATCGTCACCATCGCCCTCGCCATTATCAAGGTAATAATCCTCATCATCATCGTCAGCATCAGGAGCAACATTAACATTATCATCATCACCACCATCAGCACCATCACCACCATCACCATGACCACCATCACCATCATCAACAACAATAGCATCAGCATCATCCCCATCAGCATCATCACCATAAGCAGCATCATCATCGTCAGCACCACGACAATATGAATCATCATCATGATCAACTTCATCATCAGCAGCATCATCATCATCAACATCATCATCAACATCACCACCATCATCATCGTCATCATCATCAGCATCGTTACCATTATCATCACCATCACCATCATGAGCACCATTACCATCATCAGCATGTTCAACATCAGCATCAACATCATAGACAGTACCATTGTCATCCGCACCATCATCATGTTCATCACCATTCACCTTCAACGCCATCAGCATCACCAACATCACCACTGCCATCGCGATCAGCAGCGCCATCATCGCCACCATCACCATCCTGATCATCATCATCATCATCATCATCATCATCATCATCATCATCAGCATCATCATCATCATCAGCATCATCATCATCATCATCATCATCGTCATCGTCATCACCGTCGTCATCGGCATCGGAATATTCATCATCATCAGCAGCATCAGCAGCCTCCTCATTATCCTCGTCATCAGCATCGTCATCATCATCCTCATCAGCATTATCAGTATCATAATCATCGTCATCATCAGCATCATCACCATCATCATCATCAGCATCATCATCGTCAGCATCATCATCAGCAACATCATCATACTTATCTCACACATTTCTCATTCTCGTCCGCCTCCTCCTCCTTGACAACCGCTGGTCCCTACACAACACAAACTCGAGAAATGAAGGCGAGGAGGAGAAGGAGAGAGGGGGAGGAACGAGGGGGAGAAGGAGGAGGAGGAGGAGGAGAAGGAGGGGGAACGGCATGGAGATGGGAGGGAGATGGGAGGGGAGAAGAGGATGATGGGGGGCGGAGACGGATTACAAGGAGGAGGCCAGGGGGGGCAGGAGGGAGAGGGGAGCTACTTATCCTTTTGCTCCCCACCCTCCTCCCACCTCCCTCCATGTCCCCTGGCCATCGTCGTTCTCCTCCTACTCCCTCCTCGTCCCCCCCCCCTCTTCCTCCTCCTCCCCTTCCTTCTCTTCCTCCTTCTCCTCCTCCTCTTTCTCCTCCTCCTCCACCTCCCCCTTCTCGCCCTCTTCCTTCTCCTCCTACTCCTCCTCCTCATCCTCCTCATCCTCCTCCTCTTCTCCTTCTCCTCCTCCCTCTCATGCTCCATCCGCAGCCGCCTTTTCCTTATCATCCTCTCTGCGCCTTCTAGTCATCCTCTCTGCGCCTCGCTCCGCCTGTTCCTCCTGCTGTCCTTCCTCATCCTCGTCATCCTTTCTATGGCTCCTCAGTGGGGGGAAAAAGGGTGAGGCCTGCTCCATCTTCTCGTACTTCTCCTGCATCCTGTCGAGATAGCCGGATCCGTACCTTAGGCTACGAGATATCGGCCGTCCCTGCGCGCGAGCACTTTGCGCGACCAGCTATCGCGAGCGTAATGTTGAACTATAGAAGAGGAGGCGGCAGCGGAGGAGGGGGGGCAGATGGGGCAGGGAGAGCGAGGAAAAGGAGGAGGAAGTGGAGTATGAGTACGATTGCCAGGCGGTGTCTGACTAAAAAACGCAATTCTACACATGCGAAGTGCATAGGACGGTCACGCATACCTATCCCGCTGGCACGTCCAACCTTCGTTCACGTACCTCTGGAAACCCGATCTAAATACTCTGCTATTGTGGGGGGCGATCGAGCAGGTGCACATCTTGCCGAATGCCCGCAACTGAGCACCAGCCCAACACCCGAAGCCTATACAGCACAACAGACGGATCGTACTATGAAGCTGCAACTTGTGAGATTTGCGAGCCCACCCACCAGCTATGTGGAACGTAGCGAATGGGGACGTCCGAGAGATCGTGCCATCATCGGGAGCGGCAAAGAGGGGGGTGTCCAAGAGGGGGGGGTGCAAATCATGACCTGCGGCATGTGCGCGGCCCAGCGGGGGGGCCAGGGACGTAATGAAATAAGAAGAGGCGCCATAAGATCTGGGGAAATATCATGGCCCCCGCCATGATATCCACCCCCCCCTAGTCATCACCCCCCTCTTTTCCGCCCCCGACATCAGAGTTAACCACCTTGAAACACGGGAACATGCGGCAGTCAGTGAGACGATGCTTAGCAACAGAGCCTCCACAGACGACCAAGTGTCGCGGCGGCGAGGCGCCAGTATTTTCTGTGACAACTTGGTATTGTGAAGGTGATGGAAGAGTGGGGGAGCCTCCACACTATGGACCAGAACGCAGCGCTCGCCCTCCCACCCGTAACGATCGCGAATCCCCAGACGCACAAGCGGGTCCGCGTGAGCTACTGCCGTCGGCTGGCATACAGCCCACCAAGCGCGTGGGCAGGCCACATGGTGAGCGGTCTCGTCTGGCAGACCTGGGCACCCGTACGCACAGGTGCCTCGGCGCGGGCTCGCGTGCATCCAAGCAGGAGTGGCCCACCCCCCACTGAGGACGTGAAGGCTGGCCCACCGAGGGCCAGGCCCCAACGACGCCAGCAGCTGCCCGAAGCGAATCCAGCGGTCGACGGGGTCCTGCGAAACCGGCGAGGGTGCTTCCAGACGTTTGACGAGATCCTTACGTGAACGCTTCGGGAAATGGGCGGGCGGCGAGAGCGCGAGCGAAGCTCCGCTGCGCAGGCAGCCGTGCCCCGGGAGTCTCGGCACGGTACCGGGCGACGCTGGCAGCGGCCTCGGCCCTCGGCTATCGCGGCCTCGCGACTGCGGCGAGGGCGCTGCGGAGGGTGCGGCAGCACAGCTTCGGTGATATAGATATCTATATATATATATATATACATCGTATGTCTCGGACTATGCCGCCAGGCATCTGTGAGAAGCCTGGGCTCCACAGCTTGCGTGCGCAAGCCGCAAGTCCTACCGACTCCGACACCACCTAACCCGGGTCCTTCAGTAATGGCGCCTTCCAGCCAGGAATCGTGAACATGGCTGCACGCCATCTGCTGGCCAGGGACAGGCAATCGATCGAGCTCAAGGCGGCGCTGGGCGCCCATCTTCGCGTTGTCAAACGATCCACCCTCGCGAGAGCATCCGGTGTCGAGCGGATCGCCACGTGCATGAGGTCTTGCTTACGCTGCAGCAGCGCTGAGGGTAAAGGGTGGAATCGTGCCATGTACAACAGGCGTGAGACGGCAAGCGCGTTGCATAGACGGGCAAACTATCTGCCGAAACACCTGGCAGGCCAATGTCACGGACACGGCTGATATACTTGGCAACCAGGGCCGATTGTTCGAGGGAGTCGGTAGCACAAGGCCCCAGCTGCATTCCTGAGTGCTTGCAGCACCCAGTTACAGAAAAATCTCCCATTCAGAGAGCGTGGAGCCCAGGAAGGCGCTCACCTCGGCCTCACAAGAGGCATCCACTGAACCCCGCTGAGAATCGGCCGTGCATCTTTTGGAGCTGGAGACTCGGACACGCGGGCGAGCGCATGGCGTCAAAGGCCTCGCCACAGATGGCCACCGAAGAGATTTTTTACGTATGACCCAGCCGATGCCGTCCGCAGAGGCTTGCGGGCATGCCATCATGAGCCATCCGAGAAAGCTCGCGCTCGTGAAAGACACGCAGGTGCGTGAGAGGAGGAGGAGCAGGAGGAGGCGGAGGAGGCGAGTGAACGGGGACGAGGAGGGAAAGAAGAGTAGGGTCGGGAAGGCAGAGGGAGAGGCGCAGGAGGAGACAGGGCAGGGGAGAAGGGGTGGGTGGGGGGGGGGGGGGAGTGGAGGGAAGGCGGAGAAGGGGAAAGACCAGGAGGGATCAGGAGGAAGATGGCGAGTACGTGGAAGAGGGGAACGAGTCAAGGGAGAAGGAAGACGAAATGGCGGGGAGGGGAAGAAGGGTACGGAGGAAGGAGACGCGGAGCAGAAAAGGAGAGAAGACGAGAGGAGGGGAGGAGTAGAAGGAGAGGGAGAGAGAGAGAGAGAGAGAACAAACAAAAATAGTAAAGGAGGAGCAGTGCGAAGACGACGACGATTATGATGGTGAGAAGGAGGACGTAGCATAAACACAATTCAGAAGACCACGGAGGCGGCAGAGGCCCTGAGCTGATCTTACCCCCTCCTCCTCCTCGTCCTGCGCCTCGTCCTCTTCAGGGGGGCTGGTTGTCCTCACTAGCCCTCAAGGGAGGTGAAAGCAGGGGTACAGATGGGATCGCTTGTTGGTGGAAGGCTCCTGGAGGTTGCTGGACGTGGTCTTGTGTTATTACACAGGCATTATTTGCCCCTAGGATCGGGCCTTGGCAGAACCGGGTTTAGTGGGACCTGGTTTAGTGATGTGTACTGGGGGACGCCCCCCCCCGCCCCGTTCCACTAACCGGAACTGCCGTAGCCCGAAAAAACACCAGCTACGGCAAACCTGGTTTGGCGATTCTGGCCAATTCAGGGGCTCCCGGGCCCTACCACTAACCGGGTCCCCTTACCCGGGGTCCTGGCTATACCCGAAGCTGGGCCTGGCTGGCGATCCTGCCGGTTCGTCGCCGCCCCCTCCCGTCGCCGCCGCCCCCTTGGGCCTGGCTGGCGGTCCGGCGGGCCGCCCGAAGCTGCCGCCCACTTGGGCCTTGCTGGCGGTCTGGCGAGCTCGCCGCCGCCCGTCGCCGCCCGTCGCCGCCGCCCGCTTCGCACTGCTTCGCACTGCGTCGCACTGCGTCGCACTGCGTCGCACTGCTTCGCACTGCTTCGCACTGCTTCGCACTGCTTCGCACTGCGTCGCATTGCTTCGCATTGCTTCGTACTGCTTTGCATTGCCCTGCATTGCTACTGCTTTGAACTGCCTTGCGTTGCTTTGCATCGCATTGCACTGCACTGTGGTGCTCTGGTTTCCACTGCTTTGGGTTATGTTGCAGTACCTTGGATCGCACCGATTGCACTGTTTTGCGCTGATTTGCACTGCTTTGCACTACTTTGATATGATGTGCTTTGTCTTGCGTTGCACTGCTTTGCACCGATGCGTATTGCTTTCCATTGCTGTGCACTGCATTGCGCCCCATGAGAACTCCTGGAGATTGTCGAGCAGAGTGGCGTAAAGGGCCCGAAGCGTTTATTTGAAAGCGGCGAAGGCGGCGACGACGGCGGCAGCGAACGGGGAACGGCGCCGGAGAACGCAGACCGACGACGGCGACGACGAAGACGACGACAACGACCGTCGCATCGGAGGGTCCCCGAGGGCCCTCGAGGGCCTCCTTCGACCGCCGTGGGCCGCCGAGGTCCCCCCCCCGTCGGCGGCGAGCGGCGAGCGGCGAACGGGGTGTGGCCGAGCCAGGCCCGAGCTCCGCGCACTCTCCTGACGCCGCTCTCGGGCCCCGCGGCGGCCGCCTGCCGCTTGGCCTCCGAGGGAGGAGGGGCGGATGATCGAGAATCGTCGTCCTCGTCGTCGTCCTCCTCCTCCTCCTCCTCCTCCTCCTCCTCCTCCTCCTCCTCCTCCTCCTCCTCCTCCTCCTCCTCCCCCGTTCAGCCGTTCAGCCTTGAACTACATGATCCCACGGCGTGAGACCAGCAGCAGAGAATGGAAGAATACTCGGGGACAACATGGACAAGCACAGTGCCTCATTCCCCAATCAGTGCTTGCACTGAAGGGGTCCTAGTGGATATTGAAGGATTTGGCGAAAGCTCAGGGCCGATTTCGGTAGGCGGCCGGATTCCTAGGTTCCCCGTTCCAGGTTCCCGGGTTCCCGGGTTCCCGGGTTCCAGGCCGATTTCGGTGGACGGCGGGGTTCCCGGGTGCCCGGGTTCCTGGTCGATCTTCTTTATCGATCGGTCTCACCATCGATCTCATTACCCACCTCTCCATCGAGCTTACCATCGATCTCAATATCGACCTCACAAGCGATGTCACCATAGATCGCACGACCGATCTCACTGCATCGCCTTCACTCTCGGTCTCACGATCGACATTACAATCGTCCTCACTATCGATTCCACGATCGATCTCACAATCGATCTCACTATGGATCCCAATATCCATATCACTGATGTATCCAGTTATTGGGGTTTCTCTGGTGTAATATGCCGCATCTCCCCTTGATACAGATAATGCGGCCAAGGTATTTCTTGGTACTGGGGTCCCCACCTCGCTCTAGAAGGCTGAGAGATCGAGTCGCGTGATTATTTGGGGGGCGTCCAGGGCAAACCTCAAAAAAACCTGCTGAAGGACTTTGGCTCGACCTTAACTCCCGCACCAGGCGCACTAGCACAGGAGAGTATCCTGAACCATGCCGAGCCATCCCCAAAGCTTACGCGTGGGGTGGACCTTCTTTACTACCGCAGGCACACCAAAACAAGGCGTTGAGGCGAGGGCAGCGTGAGCACGTCCCGCGCGACAGGCAGATCGTACGGGCAAGCCGCCTCCCACCGTGCTTGAACCTCGTGCCCGTTCGGGCTCGGCATTTCTGAGGCTCGCTGGGCTTAGCCCCAGCTCTGGCCTTCAGAAACTCGGCATCGGGACAGCGGAGCTCCGACCACGTCCCCGACACCCTGGCGGCGTAGAGGGCCAGAGCTGAAAGCCTCTCGCGCGTGGCCTCCAGGTCCTGGAGATACTCTGAGTGACGACCCTCGCTGGCCGCCTGACGAGTCAAAAAAAAGTCGACTGCGCGATCGCCCTGCCACGCCCAAGACTGGACACTCCTGAGCCTCGACGCGCCACCTGCTCCACGCCACGAAAATGTGTACACAGGCACCCTCCGACGAACTTTACACATACCTTCAGGGAGCGGACGGTGTATAAAACTCCCAGCGGTGGCTTATACACCGCCACCCTCCCCGGAGGCCCAGGGACAGTCCAGTGGAGGGTGCCTGTGTGTACTTTGTTTTTGTGGCGGAGGCTCTTGTGAGCAGGAACCCTGGACAGCGAAAGAGTTGGTCCTCCTCCTCCTCCTCCTCCTCCTCCTCCTCCTCCGCCTCCTCCTCCTCCTCCTCCTCCTCCTCCTCCTCCTCCACCGTCTCCTTTTTTGTTTCATCCTCCTCCTCCTCCTTCTCCTCCTCTTCCCTTGCGAATCTCAGGCATCTCAGAGATATCAATTGGCTGCCTCCTCCTCACTCCGCGCGCGGCCAGCCATCCCTCGGCTTGGACGTCGGAGGGCTGGCCATTCCCCCTCCTTCCCCCCTTCCCTGGCCCTTTGCCCACGGGCCACCAGCCTGTGCCTTTCATACCCGTGGCCCCCACGCCTCGTCGTCACCGACGTCCTCATCTTTTCACCCTTCTTCTGATTCCCAGCTCCTCACCCTCCTCCCCGTACATCCACAGCATGATTGTCGTCATCATCGCCACCACCGCACTCAGCATCATCATAATCATAATCATCATCATCATCATCATCATCATCATCATCATCATCATCATCAGCAGCAGCATCAGCATCATCAGCAGCAACATCATCATCAGCATCATCATCAACAGCATCACCATCATCAGCATCAGCATCAGCATCAGCATCGTCATAATCAGCAGCAGCATCATCACCACCAGCAGCATCATCAGCAGCAGCATCCTGATCATCATCAGCATTAGCATCATCGTCATCGGCGGCGGCATCAGCTTTAACACGAGCAGCATCGTCAGCATCAGCATCATCAGCAGCATCATCAGCATCCTCATCAACATCCTCAACATCATCATAAGTATCCTAATCCTCAGCATCCTCAGCATCATCAGCATCACCAACATCATCAGCAGCATCAGTATCATCAGCATCATCATCAGCATCATCAGCATCATTATTACCATCAACTACAACATCATCATCAGCAGCAGCATCATCGGCAGCATCATCATTATCATCATCATCATCAGACTCATTGTCAGAATCATCATCACCAACAGCAGCATCATCAGCATCATATCGTCACCAGCATGAGCATCAGCATCAGCATCAGCATCAGCAGCAACATCAACATCATCGTCATCATCATCATCAACAGCAGCAGCATCAGCATCAGCATCAGCATCAGCATCAGCATCAGCATCAGCATCAGCATCATCATCATCATCATCATCATCATCATCATCATCATCATCATCATCAGTAGCAGCAGCAGCATCAGCATCATCATCAGTATCACAATCGTCACCACCACCACCACCATCACAATCATCCTTTCATGCGTGTTGGGAAGACCTTACGGCCAGCGCCGCAGACCCTGAAGGGGTGCGACGACCATGATGGCGGCGTTGGCGGCGACGACGACGCTGACGTGGGGCAGAGTCCTTTAGCGATGCGTCGTGGGGCCTCTTCGGAGCGCGCTCGTATGCCTCTGGGGGGTGGGCAGCTTGGGGATCTCGTGGGAGCATTCGGGGGCCTCTTGCAGCCTCTTGGAGGTCCCTTCGGGCTTCCTGTGGGCCTCTTGGGGGCCTCTTGGAGGCCTCGTGGGGGCCTCTTCGGGGCCTCTGGGGCCTCCCGGGAGCTTCTCGGGGCCGAGGGCTCGACATGTTCGCTCGGGCCTCCGAATGGACACCCTCTTGGAGCTGTTATTGGTGGACTCTGGGGCCGTCCGGAGGACCTCCACAGCCGTCTTGGGGCCCTCTTGGGTCGTGCTGGAGCCGTCTTGGAGACCTCTTGGGGGCCCCGTGTGCCGATCCTGGGGGGCATCTTGGGGTGCTCTGGGGCGTCGGGAAGCCGAAAAAGCGAGAACGCCAGAATCTCTCAAAGTCCAAAAAGGAAAAGCTTTTATTTTGCCCGTTGGGGCCCTGTTGGTGTGCTCCTGGAGGCCCCTTCGAGCGTCTTGGAAGCCGCTTGGGCTGTCAGGAGGCCCTCTTTGACTTATTGGACCACTTGCTCGGCGACCGTCTGGCGGCCTCTTGGGCTGTCTTGGGGCCTCTTTGAGCCCCAAGACCCCCGAGGGGGGATGGTACCCTGACCCGGACCCCCCCCGCGGACACCCCCCGGGAACCCCCCCCAGGACCCTCCCACCACCACCCACCCCCAGCGGGGGAAGGGATCAAAGGAAATGGGTTTCCCATCGACTCATGTCGGATTGGTTTCGCCTTTGCTGGCTCGCCTGAGGAGGAGGGCCCAGTGAAAGGGGGGGGAGCGGCGACGAGGAGGGCCCAGTGAAAGGAAGGGGAGCGGCGACGGGCCCAGGGAAAAGGGGGTCAAACGCTGGCAAACACGACGACGACGACGACGACGACGACGACGACGACGACGACCATGTCGAGTCAAACAGAACAGTGCCTTCGTCACCAAAACCAATCGCATCTTCTGATGCGTATTAGTATTGGTCTTGTTCTTCATCACCATCAGCAACAACATCGGAATCATCATCGTTACCACCATCACCATTATTGCAGTAAACAACCACCGTGGATTGGCACGTAGTCGAGTGTCCTCGGGTCCCTTTGAGCCCTCCGTGTCGAACACGGCGTATTGCAAATACTACTTGTTTCTCCATGCGCGACCAAACCGGTCTTAGCTCGCGCGCCTGCCGTTCGCATCACGAGCCAAGATGACAATACATCACGAAGGATGCATTGCAAATAACAATGAGGGGCCCTACGGCCCGGAGTTGCGGGCGCTCTCAGGCGCTACTGGGCGCTCCAAGGGGATCCTCGCTTGACTTTCTACAGGCAAGAGCACGCAAAGACAGCCCGAGGGCGTCCTCTGAGGCCCTCAAGACGCCCCAAGAGGGTCACAAGTAGAAGGGCCAACAGCGTTCAAACACGCCCAAGATGGTCTCAGGACGGCCCACGAGGCCTCCAAGACGCACCAAGAGGGCACCAAGAGGCACGAACCATTTAAAATTGCCCTGAACTTGTTGAAAAGTGTGCGAGTGCTCGCCTTGTCGGACTTCATGCGATCCAAGATGGCCCAAGACGACACCCAACTCGCCCCAAGACAGCCGTACAGGCCCCCCAAAAGAGGACCCCAGGATGTCCAGAAGAGGGCCCCAAGAAGACGGCCAAAGAGGCCCCCACAGGGCGGCCCCGGACGAGCCCAAGAGGAGGGAGAGCACGAACCGTCACGTCGAGCCCACCGCCCGAGGATGACCCCCGAGGCCGCCCGCAGGCCCCCAAAGAGGCGCCCGAGAAGCCCCAGGGGCCCTCCGAAAGGCCCAAGAAGGCCCAAGAGGAACCCGAGAAGCCCCAGGAGGCACCCAAGAAGCCCCAGGAAGCCCCACTTTGAGGGGGCCCCCGAGGGGCCCTCGCGAGGCCCCTCTGACGCCCCGAGGCTGCATCCGAGAGGCTCCCGAGAGGTCTCCCGAGAGAGCCCGACAGGCATCCGAGGGGCCTCTGGCCTGCAGCCAGGGACGCGGTGGCGGGGTGGACCGAAGGCCACGAGCTCTCCACCGCCCCTCGGTGCTTGGAAGAGAAGCGGGCGGTGCGCCAGGCTTGTGAGTCTCCTTTTGAGCAGAGACCGACCGTCCCGGCATTCCTATAGTCCTACCAGGAACTGTTCTTGGAACCCAACAATGTTCTAAGAACAAAAACAATGCTCTTCGAACATAAGCCCAACGTGATAAAACAAGACAGTCCCAGCCAGAAATGTTCTAAGAAAATTTTGTGGGAACCACAAAAGGTTCTTAGAACATTGTTTGGTGGGGCTATAGGCACGCCAGGACGCTTCGCCACTGCTTGATCCTTGGCCTTACGACGGGGTGCTCAACAGGGTCTGGGCTGATCCCGCTGGCCACCTGGAAAACCCCCGGCAGGGTGGCCCTAATCGGCGCTGCCGCCCAAGATGGTCCCAAGAGGGCCTCCAAGACGGCAAATCTGGCTTCCATGACGGTCCCAATACGCCTCCGAGATGGCAAAGATGGCGCCAAGAGGGCCCAAGATGCCACCAAGACGGCCCAAGATGACTCCAAGACGGCATACGATACCCTCCAGACGGCCCCACAGGCCCCCATGACGCCCTAAAATGGCTCCAAGAGAAACAAAAAGGCCCTGTAGAGGGCCCGGGAGGCCCCGAAGAGGCCTCGCAGATGCCCTCAAGAGGCTCCTAGGAAGCCCCAAGGAGGCCCAAGAGGACCTCAGGCATCATCGTCGTCCTCCTCCTCCTCCTCCTCCTCCTCCTCCTCCTCCTCCTCCTCCTCCTCCTCCTCCCCCTCCTCCTCCATCTCCTCCTCTCCAGCATCATCATTAGCATCATCATCATCATCATCACCACCACCACCATCATCATCAGCATCATCATCATCACCATCACCATCACCATCACCTTCATCATCATCACCATCAGCATCCTCATCATCATCATCATCATCATCATCATCATCATCATCATCATCATCATCACCATCATCACCATCATCATCATCATCATCATCATCATCATCATCGTCATCATCTGCATCACCATCATCGTCATCACCAACAGCATCAGCAGCATCAGCATCATCTCAGCATCAGCACCTTCTCATTAATCTCCCCCTCTGCAGCACCAGCACCAGCAGCATCATCAGCATCAGCATCATCATCATCAGCAGCAGCAGCATCGTGATCGGCATCATCATCACCAGCGTCAGCATCACAACGACCATTATCATCATCATCATCATCAGATTATCATCCACAGCAGCAATATACTCATCGTCGTCATCAGCAGCAGCGGACGCATCGCTAGTCTCATCGCCATCGTCGTCATAATCATTATCAGCATCGTCAGCGCCATCGGCATCATCATCAGCATCATCTTCGTCATCATCAGCATAATCAGCACAAGGTTCATCATCATCAACATCATTGGTGCAATCCTAATCATCAAATACATCCATACGTTCATAAACGACATTATCATCTTTATTATTCTCACCCTCCTCCTCCTCATCGCTCGTTCTCTCTCTCTCTCTCTGTCTCTCCGTCTCCCTCTCTCTCTCTCTCTCTCTAGGTGCATTGCTATCTCTCTCGTGTATATGTACAAGTGGCACGTGTGTGCCCAGGCTCATACAACAAGCTGAAGGGGCGTTTGAAGCAGGAGTGACATGCAACAGCGAAGTCGCACTCGAGCGCAAGTGGGGTTGCCACACCTTGCGATGTGTGTACCAGGGCCCCCCAGGAAGCCTCAGGAGGCCCGACTTGGATACCAGAAGAGGCTCCAGGAGGCCCCAGGATTGTGAGTGTTGTGTGTGTGTGATGTGTGCTTTGTGTGGTGCGTGCTTTTTGCGTGTTGTCGGTGTTGTGTGTGTATGTTATGTTTGTCTAGCGTGTGATGTGTTGGGCGTGATTTGTGTCTCTGTGTGTGCATGTAGTTCTGAAGCCCCAGGAGGCCCCAGGAGGCCCCAGGCGGCCTCAGCAGGCCCAGGAGAACTCCAGGAGGCTCCGAGGCGGGGTCTGGGGTACCAGAAGGTCCAGAAAGCCCCAGGAGGCCCCAGGAGGTTCCAGGAGGCCCCCAGGAGGCTCCGAGGAGGGGTCTGGGGCTCGATTTTGGGAGGATGTCTCAGGCGAAACCGCCATTCTCTGAGAATCGGAGTCAAAATCATTGAAATTACCATGTGTTTTTGAAGGTTTTATGATAAAATGTTGGAAATCCTATGTGTTTTTGGACCCTGACGTCACGATCTGCGTGAGGGGTGCCACCGATTTTCAGAATTTCGAAGATGTCCCGAGCGAAACGGCCAGAAAAATCGCTAACGACGGACGCATTAATCGCCTCTGAGCTCTACTCCCTCGGAGAGGTGCGTATGAGAATATATATATATATATGTACATATATATATATATATATATATATATATATGTGTGTGTGTGTGTATGTGTACACACTAGACGCACGCGTGCGCTTCGCGCGCGCGCTTAGGTTCTAACACGCCCCAAGACAAGATGACGCGCACGGTTCTTGGGGGGTATCTCGGGGGCCTTGTGGGCGCTATCGGAAGGTTCTCATGGTTCCTTAATTTGAAAGCCTGTGTCATAGAGTTCAGCGGCGGAATGGGTGGGGCTTCCTGGGAGCGTTCTGGGGGCCTCTTAGGGCCTCTTTGGGGTCTCTGGGGGCCTCTTGGGACCCCTTGGAGAGCATCTTGGGGGCCTCTTGGGGACTCCTGGGGACCTCTAGGGGCGGAGAGCCTCAAATGTACCTTCAGGGGCCCCCGCTGGGCCCCTTCTTGGGGGCGTCCTGGGGCTCTCTTCGGCCGCCTGCGGGCCCTCTTGGAGCCCTCTTGGAGCCCTCTTGGGAGCCTCTTGGGGTCCTCTTGTGGGCCTCCCGGGGCCTTCCGGGGGCCTCCTGGGGCTTCTTGGGGGCGAGGGCCAGAACGAGTCCGGTCGGTTCCCCCGTCTAGGCCCCTCCTCAGAGCTGTCTTGGGGGCCTCTTGGGCCGTCTTGGGGGCCTCTTGGGCCGTCTTGGGGCCCTCTTGGGCCATCTTGGGGCCGTCTTGGGGGCCCCTTCGGCCGTCTTGGGGCGACCTTGAGGGCTTCTTGGGCCGTCTTGCGGCATCGGGAAGCCGAAAAGGCGAGAACCACAAAACACCTTCAAAAGCCATAGAACAACAACAATGTGTGTCTCTGTCTGCCCTCGCGGTGAGCCTCTTTGAGGCCTCTTGGGGCGTCTTGGAGGACTCTTGGAGCCTCTTGGGCGCCTTGAGGCCCATTGGAGACGCCAGGGAGGGGGTATCAAAAAGGGGGCCCGATGTCACGGGGGTGGGCTGGGCGTTTCTCGGGGGGGCGGTATATGTTTATATATACACGAATATACATAACCGTAAATCTGTACATATGTTATAAGCAGATATGTGTATCAATCTCTCTCTCTCTCTCTCCCGCTCTCTCTCTCTCTCTCTGTCTGTCTGTCTCCCTCTCTCTCTCGCGGGTTCCCTTCTCCAAGGCTTGTCACCATGGCTGGGGGAGCACCTGTTCCAACAGCTTGGCCACATCCCGAAAGGCAGAGGGAGCAGCGTGAGGGAGGAGGGGGGAGGGGGGAGGGCGAGGTGAGGATGGAAGGAAGGAGGAAGGGAGTGGGGGAGGGCGAGACAGGGGGGACTAAGGATGCGGCGGTAGAAACAAGAGCAATGGAGGAGAGGAGGAGGGAGCTGAGGGGAAAGGGAGGAGAGGGAGCAGCAGCAGCAGCAGCAGCAGCAGCAGCAGCAGGAGCAGACGGGAAGCAAGAGCAAGGCTGAGGGAGGAGGAAGGAGGGACGAGGAAGGGAGGGGGGAGGGAGGGATGCGAGGTGGGAAAGGAAGAGCGAAGGAGGAAGGGAGTGAGGGAGCGCGAGAAAAGCGGAAATGATGATGGAAGCAAGCGAAACAACTAGCGAATGGAGCAAGCAGAAGGGGGAGGTGAGGGGAAGGGCGCAGAGGGAGCAGCAACAGTAGCACGAGCAGACGGGAAGCGACATCAAGGAGGAGGGGGGGAGAAGGAGAAACGAGGGAGGGAGGACAGCGAGGTGGGTAAAGAAGACGGAAGGACATAGGGGGTGGAGGAGGACGGGAACATGGACATCAGGATGGAAGCGGAAGGAAACATATCTGAATGAAGGAGGAAGGCGAGGGGGAGTGCGGAGAAGGGAGGAAAAGGCAGCAGCAACAACAGCAGCACGAGAAGACGGGAAGCAACAGTAAGGACGAGGGGGAGGAAGGAGGGGTAAGGAGGGAGGAGGGAGGGAGGGAAGAGCGAGAGGTAGAGGGGGGGGGGAAAGGAGGAGGAGCAGCAGCAGCAGCCGCAGCACCAGCGTGAAGCGAGGAGGGGAAGAGAGTGGACGAGGAGACGGGATGGAGGGAAAGGAGGGAGTAATGATGAGGGGGAGGCCTGAGGCGGAGCCTCTATCCCCGAGGAGGAGGGGGAGGGGGAGGAGGAGGAGGAGGAGGAGGAGGAGGAGGAGGAGGAGGAGGATCAGGAAGAGGAGGAGGAGGAGGAGGAGGAGGAGGAGGAGAACGACGAGAAGACGAAGACGAAGAAGAAGAAGAAGAAGGAGAAAGGAAGCAAGAGGACAGGAGCGGAGAGGAGCCCCCCGCGTGCCTCCTCGAGCTCCACCGACTGTTGCTGCATGTGCCTCCGCAGCTCGGCCTGGCCCCTCGCCCCCACCTGCGCGGCGGAGGCGCATCGCGACTGGCGAAGCCCCTCCTCTCCTCCTCTCCCCTCTCCTCTCCTCCCCCCTCCTGCATTTCTTCACCCTCCCTCTCTCCTCCGTCCTCCCCCGTCCCCTCCATCCTCCCCCATCGCCTCTCTCCCCTCTCCTCTCCTCCGTAGCCAGTTTGGCTCGAGTCTCGGCTCGGCAGCACCTGTGCCCATGGCCCATGGCGAAGGCACGATACGTAACCTCCCACGCCCACCAGCCTCGAAAAGGTCCTCGCCGCGCGCCCCCTGCACCACTGCAGCCCAAGCCACCAGGCAAGGGCAGCCCAACGGCTACCTTCAAGGACCGACAGGACACCAACTTCTGTCGCAAGGACGCCTGCACCGCCGTATTCCAGGGTAGTGGCGGCGCCGACCGAGCAATGGCTACCTACAACGACCGCACTCACAAGCAGAAAGGCGACACTGGCAACGTGTACCGACAACACCGCTCCGACCAGCGCAAGCTAAGGGGAGAGAGCTGCTGAAACTGTGCGGGAACAATCAGCTACGCAAGCTGGGTTATTCCCTAACGCACAGGACGGGCTCCAGCCGCGAGGCACCAGGGTCCACGGCTCCCGCCGACGCCCACCAGGGCAACGACATCGCCCAAACCATCAGCCTCGATGCGCCCGTCGCGCTCGCACCGAAAAGATCTGACGCCGGACATCAGACACCAACAACATCTCAACCAACACGCCAGAGGAGGACAATCGACTCCTGCAAAAGATCCTCACCATCCTGGTCGTCATTATCATCACCTTTATCCTCATAGCCATCGTCATCGTGACCGCCACCATCACAGCAAGCATTATTATCATCGTCATCACCAGCACAATCATCACCACCAGCATCCCCGTCTCGTGCTGTCCTCTTCCTCCTCCTCTTCCTTATCATCCTCTTCCTCATCTTCCTCGTCATCGTCCTCGTCCTTGCCCTCATCACCCTCATCATGATGATAGATCGAATCCATCACCACCACCACCACCACCACCACCATTGCCATCATACATACCGTTATCATTATCATCCTCATCATCATCAGCAGCATCAGCATCAGCATCATCAGCATCATCACCATCATCAGCATCATCAGCATCACCAGCATCATCAGCATCATCATTAGCGTCAGCAGCATCATCATCAGCATCATAGGCAGCATCATCGTCCTCCTCCTCCTCATCAACATCATCGTCATCATCATCATCACCATCATCATCATCATCATCATCCTCCTCGTCATCATCATCATCATCATCATCAGCAGCAGCAGCATCATCATCATCATCATCCGTATCATCATCACTATCATCATCACCACTCAACAACAGCAGCATCACCACTGTCAGCATCACCATCATCATCCTCATCCTCGTCATCATCATCAGCAGCAGCATCATCATCATCCGTATCATCATCACCATCATCATCACCACCACTATCACCGTCATCATCATCCATTGCCCGCCACCCTCCAGGAGGCGCCCGCCCCCACCCCCACCGCGCCCGCCCGCCCTCTGGAGGCCCCGCCTCCGGCACGGCGCCGGCGTCGATGAGGTCGTCGAGATCGTCCTCCTCGGCCTCGTCGCCGCTGTCGCCGTCGGCCTGGCGCAACAGCGCACCGGGGGGCGCGCGGGGGCGCTCGGGGCACGGCCCCCCCAGCCCCGAGAGGAGGCAAGCAAGCAAGCACGCGAGGTTGGTCCGACTGGACCTGCGCAGAGAGAGAGTAGCGCGGGCTCAGGGGGTCGCCCTGGGAGTTGGAGGCCGAAAATTGGGGGGGGGCCTGAGGCGGGAGGGGGTGCAGAGAGAGGGGGGAGGTTGGTCGCACGCTGGGGTAGACGCTCGGTCACACTCGCGCGATGGCTCCCTCTATGGGGCTTTGGGACCGGCCGGAAGGAGTCTCCAGCGGCGCCCTGCCAACCAGAGAGGAGAGAAGAAGGGGTATAGGGGCAGGGAGGGAGAGCAGGGAGGGAGGGAGGGAACGTAACTCATTTTCAGCGTACATAACTTACCCAGCGATGTCAACCATCAGATCGCGGGGGCAGAACAGTCATTCATTGTCCCTCGCGGCAGACGTGGCGTTTCGTCAGGCGGTTTCTGCTTGTTGTGTTGGTGTGGTTGTTGTTGTTGTTGGTGTTTTTGTTGTTGTTGTTGTTGTTGTTGTTGTTGTTGTTCTGGTTGTGGTTGTTGTTGAACTCTCACTTCTGAAGAATAATTATGGCTGGTCCCCCCTCACCAGTGCATATTGTTTTTTCCATCAAAGTGTTCCCCTCGATGCTCGCACCCTGTTTTTGACATGGAAAGTCTTGATGTTCAAACTGTGCCCCTGGCCCCCGGGTTACAACAACAACAACAACAACAACAACAACAACAACAACAACAACAACGACGACGACGACGACGACGACGACGACGACGACGACGACGACGACAACAACAACAACAACAACGGCTCCCGCGTAAGACTTCCTCACACTTTAGCCAGGACTCTCGCTCCCGCCCGAGACTTCCTCGGATTGTATTCAGGAATCGCGCTCTCGCTTGGGACTTGCTTACAATCTATTCAGCGGGGCGCCCACGAGGAGTCCGCGGGCGGGCTGCGGGCGACACCTCGGCGGACCCACCCGCGGCACGGGGCGCCCGCGAGCGCCCACGCGGCACCCGTGGGCGGCCACTGGCGGGAGCGCGGCGAAACCCCCCAGCCCGCGAGGCGGCCACGCGGCGGCCACGGGCGGCAGCGTGGCGAGACCTCGCCAGATCCACACGGCGTGCGAGGCGGCCACGGGCGGAAACTTGGAAAACCCTCGGCGGACCCATCGAATGCCTCAGCGCAGGAAGCAAGGACCCCGAAGTGCAGGCACAGTCTGGGGAACAGCACAGAGCCAGGTCGCGGAGCTTGGCATGCTCCCGCGGAAGCTTCTGCTCCGCGATGTGCGCCAGGACATCCACAGGGCCAGCCCTTGAAGAGACCTGGCCCAGGCGGCGCCCTTGACCCGAAGGCCCGGGGGCTCCCCTGCGCGGCAAGGGTGGGATCCCGCTCGGGTGGGGGTGGGAGGGCGTGGGGAAGGGGGCCGAGAGAAGAGGGGCCGAGGGGAGGGAGAGGGGGACCTCCTCCCCTCCTCCTCCCTTCGAGAGGGGAGCGAGGGGCAACCGCCCCCCACCCCCCTCCCTGGGAGCGGGCGGCTTGAGCCCAAAGGGGTACGGAGGAGATGAGGTTCACCCCCCTAACCACCTACAGTCGGACTCGATTGGACAGGACACGCGAGAGGACAAGACCCTTCCGAGGGCCACATTGCCACAGGAATGTAGGAAGCATGGGTCGCGAAACACAGGAGACACAAGGGCACCCTGGACTTGGCAGGGTCGACCTACTGATCTGGGCCGACTGTGCGGCGGCGGGAGGGGGAAATGGGGGGGGGAAAGGGAGTCGGGAGCGGCCAAGAGGGGGGTGTCCAAGAGGGGGGGGTGCAAATCATGACCGGCGGCATGTGCGCGGCCCAGCGGGGGGGCCAGGGACGTAATGAAATGAGAAGAGGCGCCATGACATCTGGGGAAATATCATGGCCCACGCCATGATATCCACCCCCCCTAGCCATCACCCCCCTCTTTGCCGCCCCCGAGGGGGGGCGCGGGGCGGGAGGGAGACAAGGGGGCAGGTCCACCGGGAACCGAGGCGAGGCGGGCCGCGGGTGCGGCGGCGGAGGCCGCGTCGTGCTCGCGGCCGCGCGCGGGAGCCCGCGCGCGGCCGTGAGCACACGAGAGGACGGCATCTGCGGCTGGAGGCCGACGACGCTGGGCCGGCGGAGGGGGAGGGAGGAAGTAAGGGGGGAAGGGAGGGGGGAGGGAGGGAGGGGGGGGGAAGGGAGGGGGGGGGGGGGGGAAGGGGGGGGAGGGGGGAGGGGGGGAGGGAAGGGAGGGGGGAGGGGGAAGGGAGGGGGGAAGGGAGGGGGAAGGAAGGGAGGGGGGAAGGGAGGGGGGAAGGGAGGGGGAGGAAGGAAGGGAGGGCGGGGGGGGAAGGGAGGAGGGAGGGCTTGGGGGGACGGGGGGGGGGCAGCATCTCTCCCTGGGCGCCCCGGGTCCCAGACGCAGCAGCTTTTACCTGGGCGTCCGCGGGGCCTCCTCCGCCTCCAGGTCGGCGAACTTGGCGAGGTCGGTCCGCCGCTTCTTCTTGGGGCGCCGCGACGGCGCCGGCGCCTGCGCCGCCTGCCCCGGGGCCCGCCAGACAGAACGATTCGTCTGCCCGACCTGCCGGACAGGTCGATTCAACTGCCTAGGCCCGGCAGGCTCAGGTCGGGCATGTCCTCCTACAGGAGGATCTGTTTCGAACGAAAAATAAAAAAATAGTCAACAAACAACTTTGAACAATAGTCAAGCCTGTGTCTGAACAAAACCCCCAAAAACGTCTCGAGACTAGTTCTGGACTGTTGTTGGAGATTCCTCCTGTAGAGCGATAGGCCCGACTTAACGCCAGGCAGTTCGACATGATCGACCTTCTTCCCTCGAGAGCAACGGCCTGGCACGGTGAGCGCTTCGGGGGGGCCCTCGTGGCCATGGCTGTTCGCAGCTCCAGAAACAGAGCCGGATGGCGCATGGCAGGGGTCCGAGGATCGATGTTGAGCGACAGTGGCCGCCTGCCTCCGCCGAGCGACGACTCGACAAAAGTGTAGGTCACAGACCTTGTTCATCAGCGGCGTTGGGAGGCCGGAGCTGGGCCCCGGGAGCTTCAAACACGGCTCGGGGTGAAAAGCGGAACTGGGGGGGAAGGGGTCTAGAGGTCCAGCCCAGCGACCCAAACAACATCGAGGCGTCGGAGGTATGGGCCCTCCTATCTTGAGCTGTTCATTCCCTCCCCTCCTGCATTCCCTTCTGCCTGCCTTCCATATCCCCCTCCCTCCCTCCCGCCGTCCCTCCTTCTCTATCCTCTGTCCTGGCCAGGCCTGCTCATCCCTTCCTGCTCTGCCTCTGGCACTTGCTCCCCCTCTTGCTGGTCTGGCCTCCCAGCAAAAGGCGATACAGACGATACCCTACTGAAACAGGAACAGAGTCGTGAAATGTGAGTTCGCAACTTCTGCGGGCCTTGGCTCAAGTAGCACGCCCACAAGGCGCAAGCCGACTTCACTGCCACCTTCATTCGGCAAGGTTAGAGGAGGGACGAGGAGGGAAGAAGAGGTCGGAGGAGGAGGAGGAGGAGGAGGAGGAGGAGGAGGAGGAGGAGGACCAGTGCAAACCCAAGACTCATCAACAATATGTCAACAGACCCTCCATCCAAATTCCCTCTTCATAGGCTCCTACACGGCTCATCTCCACTGAGGGAAACGCCCCGTTGGAAGACAACCGTTGAAAATCCGGAAATGCGCAGGACACCATTCCTGTGACTTCAACGCCGCGAATCACCATCACTGCTTCGTCTCGACGGCCCTCAACCATGACAGAGCACCCTTTCCTGGGGTATCAACAACGCGAATCAACGTGACTGTTGCGCCCTGACATTCCGACATCGTGCAAAAAAAAAAAAAAAAAACATTTCCGGGACGCTCACCATGAGAATCCTTGGAACTGCTGCAAACTCTTGAGACGAATGTGCGCGGCGCCAAGGCGAGAACCACGTTTTGAACAGGAACCGCCCTCCATCCGTGAAACTCTTGCAAACGTTGAAGACGAATATGCGCGGCGCCAAGTCGAGAGCCACATGTAAAGAACGGACCGCCCTCCATCCGTGAAGCTCTTGCACATGTTTAGAATGTACGCGGCGCCAAATCGGGGGCGCGCAAACAGGAATTAGCGATCCATGGATTTGGCGAGCGGTCGTCCGATCCAAGGATCGGGGGAGGTGCCCTCCCCAAAATGCGGCCGGTGCCGCCTCGTTCGGCGGCGGAAATCCGCGACTCCCATGGAAGCGGGACCCGTCGCTAATCCACGCCCCCTGGATCCATGTTTGCGATCGCCTGACCAAAGCGACAGCCACATTTTGAATGCGAACCGCAATCCATCGGTGAACCTGTTACTAATTCCAAGTTTCAAGATCATAAATTGTGTGGAAATCTCAGGCGAAACCCCAGCCCGCCCTTTCGACCGGACTCGGGGCGAAAACGGAGGAGTTATCTGCAAGCAAAAAGAATGGGGAGGATGAACAAGATCCCCGTCTCCTACAGGGCCAATACATCATGAGAAGGGCCAGCTTCCCAACTGATGATGCAACAGCTGACTAATGAGAAAGAGGATAAGGATAGGAGGTGGTGAGGAGAGGTCATGTCAAGGCCGCGTGGAGCAATGTCCGAACGATCGATGCTAGATTTTGCTGCTCCCTGCGCAGAGCAATGAAGCAGAGGCCCCCTCCCAATCCTCCTCGTCGTCCCCCTCCTTTCCCTCCTCCTCCCCCTCCACGTCTCCCTCCTCCCCCTCCTCCGCCTCCTCCTCCCCTCCTCCTCCCCTCGTCCTCCTCCTGCGCCTCCTCCAGCGTCGTCCTCCTCCTGCCCCCCTCCTCCTGCCCCCTCCCCCCCCCTCCTCCTCTCTGATCCTCCCTCCTCTCCTCCCCCTCCCTCCGCGTCCCCTCCCTCCCCGTCCCCTCCCCCCCTCCCCCTCCTCTGTCTTCCCCCCCCCCCCCCGCCCCGCGGCGCCCCCGCCCCCCGCGGGGACCTCCGCGCCTGCCGCCTCCGCCTGCGCCCGCTTGAGCCGCCCTCCGGCGGGCGGCGGCGCGGACGGGGGCGCCTGGCGGGCTCCAGCCGGGCACCCGCCCGCTTCCAGGGGGGAGCGATGATGGTGGTGGTGGTCATGGTGGTGATGATTGTGGTGGTGATGGTGGTGGTGACGGTGTTGGTGTTGGTGTTGGCATTGGTGGTGGTGGTGGTGGTGGTGTTGGTGATGCTGGTGGTGGTGGTGGTGGTGGTGGTGGTGGTGGTGGTGGTGGTGGTGGTGGCGATGGTGGCGATGGTGGCGATGGTGGCGATGGTGGCGATGGTGGCGATGGTGATGGTGATGACAGGGGGAGGCGCAGGAGGAACACAGTCATCGTGCTGCCGGGAGGAGCGCCGAACAAAGAACGAAGGGCTGATTGCTGACAACGGCCAGCCCTGGCCAAGAACAGATTCCTGGACCCAGGAGCGCGTTTCTTTATCATCGGCGATGACGGGCGTCATGGAGGGGGGCGCGGCGGAGAGGGGTATCCCCCCTCCCGTGCGGCTCCGGCACCACAGCCGCGCCCGCGCGCACGACGACGATGAGCGACGAGCGACGAGCGACGAGCGACGGGCGACGAGCGACGAGCGACAACGACGACGACGACGACGACGACGACGACGACGACGACGACGCGAGCAGCATGTAGGTGGCGATCTGCCCCACAGCGCCTGTGTACACCACAGTGCTCGCGTGCACCACAGCGCTTTTGGACACCACAGCGCCTGCGTACACCGTAACAGCCGTGTGCAACGCAGCGCCTGTGTACACCACAGTGCTTGCGTGTACCACAGCGCCGGTGTACACCACAGCAAATGTGTACACCGCAGCAGCCGTGTGCAACACAGCGCCTGTCGACACCATACGTGCACCGCAGCGCCTGTGCACACCACAGCGCCTGTCTACACCACAGCATCCGCATGCAACGCAGCGCTGGTGTACACCAGAGTGCCTGCATGCACAGGACACGTAGAAAGAGCATCTCGGTGAGGACCTGCTGCGGACAGCTAAACGCCACGCCAGGGAAGTGCTGATAATAGAATGCGACGGTATTCCTTCCTCCCTCCTCCACCTCCGCCTCCTCCTCCTCCTCCTTCTCGTCCTCCTCCTCCTCCCTCACCCTTACCCCCTGTCGTGCGGGTCGGCACTACAGCGCACGTGCGCGTCTCAGCGTGCACCGCAGAATGGTCTATTCACTGGTGCCGTGCTGAGTGCACGCAAGCATTGTGGTGTACAGTGCTGTGTTGCACACGGCTGATGTGGTGTACGCAGGCGCGGTGGTGTACACAAGGGCTGTGGTGCCAGCAGGCACTGTGGCACACGCTGGCGCTGTGATGCACGCGGCTGCTGTGGTGTACATGAGCGGTGTGATGTACACAGGCGCTGTGGTGCACGCAGGCACTATGCTGTACACAGGCGTTGTGGTGCAGATCGCCACCGACATGCTGCTGCTACCCGTCCTCGGTGATTCCTAAGCAGTCCCAGACGCCGCCGGCGCGAAACGTGATGTCATCGGCCACCTCCATCCCCCCCAGATGATAGCCGTCATCGGCCCAGAACAAAACAAAACAAAAAAGGATCCAGCTGCGTCCGCGCGCACGACGACGATGAGCGACGAGCGACGAGCGACGAGCGACGACGACGAGCGACGACGACGACGACGACGACAACGACGACGAGCCAGTGCGGATTCCTATGCGCACACCTATGCGGATCACGATGAGCACGGCGGCATTGCCCAGAACGCACTGGGGGGGGAGCTTTACGTCATAGGGACGGGGGGGGGCTGGGGGCCATGACGCCCGTCATGCCCCAAGCAATACAGAAACGGGCTCCAGACGTAAAGAACGGCCCGAAAGTGGTACTGCGTCAGCGTCTTGACTGTAGGGGGAGAGAGAGGGTGAGGAGAAAGTGATCGTGTTGGGAAGAAGGGGTGGGGAGGATGAGGGGCATGAGCAATAGCATCCGGATGCAATGAATGATACCTTCGGCCGCCTGCGGGTAATGATATCCTCAATTCTCCCAGCACCATCCTCCCAACCCGGCAATTTTCTTCCTGAAAGGGGGGAGAGGGGTGGATTGTTCTTGTCGGCCAGCCCAGGAGGAGGCTCGGTGCCCTCTTCGGGAAAGCACCGTGTTGCTCCTTTCTGGATCGTGCGTGGCCCTCCTGTGCCTCCCGGGGCTACCTCCTGGCCAGTCAGCGGCCCTGTCGGGCCTGTTGGTGCATCCCTGCAAGGAAGGAGGAGAAGGAGAGGACTGACGCTTCGGGTACTCGAGGCCCACTCGCTTGCCTAAGAAAACAGAAGGAGAAGGAGAAGAAGAAGAAGAAGAAAAGCGGACCCCTTGTTCAGGAGGAGACATGTTGTTCGCACCCAGGTGGTGCAACTCGTCGGGCCAGGGGGGGACAAGACACTCTCTGAGACACTCTCTGACAAGAGACTCGCGTGCTAGACTCTCCCAAGAATGTGGGGGGGGAAACGAGGGACGCGATGACTCCCGCTCTGCAGGCTCAGCACACCCGAACCAAGATCTCCCCTCATACTGGGCCAGAAACCCGGCGACAGGATTGCTTCTTGGGAGCACGCATCCCTGGCATGACGAAGTCGAAGAAGAATGCCACAGGGACGGTCACGAACAGCTTGCAGCAGACCAACATGCAAAATGAACTCGGCGCGCCCCAAAGTAGGGCCTTCTTTCTCCCCAAGAAATCCGGACCGCTTCCCAACAATGCACAGACATGTAATGCAAAGAAGTTGCTTAGCATTTCTCAGAATTGCCTGGGATTGCTTGGAATCGTTGCTGGGAATTGCTTCTCCTGTTTGGCACTGCCTGGCACGGCTTGGCGTTGCTCAGTGCTGCTATGACCCTTGGACCCCCGAGGAGCCGAGAGGAACCCAAGACCAAGGAGCCCGAGGAAGGACCTGGAGAACCCGAGACCAAAGCACCCGAAGGAAGGCGAATGACGAACCCCCCCCGCCCACGGGTTCCATCACAAACGAAGCCCCTTAGGAAACATCTGGTTGGTGAAAAACGCAGCTGCGCACAGCAAGGAAAATCGCCGTGCCGCGACGCAAGGAAAGCGCAATGTCACATCATGCAAAGGGCGACGCGTGGTAGAGTAGCTAAGGATGGGCGAGAGAAAAGGCAGAAGGAAGAGGATGGAGGAGGGAAGGGGGAGGCCTCAAACACAGCAAACAACTCGGGGCCCGATGATCGAGGAGGAGGGAGAGGAGGAGGAGGAGGAGGAATCGAGAAGAAGGCTCCTCGTTACCCGAGTCGAAGTCTCCGAAGAGGTCCTGCTCGAGAAGGCTGTCCTTGGCACAAGCAGCAGTGCGTCTCCTCCTACGTACTCTTATGTTCCTCCTCCTCCTTCTCCTCCTCCCTCCCTCCTCTTCCTCCTCCTCCTCCCCCTTCTCCCTCTCTCCCTTCTCCTCGCCTCCTCCTCCTCCTTCTTCTCCTCCTCCTCCTCCTCCTCCTCCTCCTACTCATCCTCCACCCCTTTTCCCTCATCGACAACTCCCCCCTGTCGCACCCCCAGACGTGTCGGCAGGGCGGGCCAGGGGACGTTTCGCCCGAGACATGCTCACGAACCGTAATCATCAAGCTTGAAATTCAGTTACAAGGATGGAATGGGTGTTGTTTTCAAAATGAAGCTCTCGCTTTAGCGCCGCGCGCACTCGCACATACAGGTCACAGCAGCTGCACAGAAAGAGCACAGGTGGATTTCAGAATGGGGCTCTCGCCTCAGCGCCGCACGCATTCATCGGAAAAGCTTGTAACTGCTAACTAAAAGGGTGGATGCGGGGCGCTTTCAAAATGGGGCGTTCGCGTCAAGGCCGCGCACATTCGTCACAAAGGCTTGCAGCAGCGACCCGAAGAGAATGCACATAGCCTTCGAACGAAAGATGTCGCTCCAGAGCTGCGCACATTCGTATTAAAAACGTATAGCCGTTACAAGGCTGGGAGGCGGGTCGCCTTCAAAATGGTGCTCTCGCCTGGGCGCCGCGCAGGTTCGTCTTCACTGGTTGCAAGAGCTGCAATGGTGGAGACCAGGTGGTGTTCAAAAGGGGCTCCCGCATTGGCGACGCGAACAGTCGCCTTGAAAGCTTGCAGCAGCTACTTCAAGGAAAGATGGAGGGGGGTCGCCGTTAAAATGAAACTCTCGCCGTGGCGCCGCGCACATGCGCCTTGGAACATTGCAGCATCTACAAGGATGGAGGGGGATCGCCTTTTCCATAACGAAGCTCTCGCTAGAGCACCGCGCGCATCCGTCCTGAAAGCTTGCAACAGTCTAAATAAAAAAGAACACACGTGGTGTTCAAAATGGGATTCTCGCCTTAGCGTCGGGCCGACCCGTCTTAGACTTAACCTAGCGAAGGACCCAACCATATGCAGTTGTGAATAACGCAGTTGTGAATACCAGATTCGGTGGGGCTCCCTATGATGCCACGAAACGTGTGAGGGGTGCGCCGACGTGGGTGGGGGGACGCATGTGGACGCTGGCACTGGGGCCGTCGGTGGGGCTTCCTATGGGGCCACGAAACGTGTAATGGGTGTGCCGAATTGGGCATGCGGTGGGCGGGGAGGACGCATGCGGACGCGGACACTGGGGCCTTCGGTGGAGTTCCCTATGGTCCCACGAACCGTGTGAGGGTGTTCAGAAATTTGTGTGCGGTGGGCGGGGAATTCGCATGCGGACGCGTGCGCTGGGGCCTTCGGTGGGGCTCCCTATGGGGCCACGAAACGTGTGAGAGTGTGCTGTAATGGGCGTGCGGTGGGCGAGGTGGACGCATGTGGACGCGGGCAGTGGTGCCTTCGGTGGAGCCCCGTATGGGGCCACGATACGTGTGAGAAGCGTGCCGAAATGTGCATGCAGTGTGCGGGGAGGGCGCATGCGGACACGGCCACTGGGGCCTTCGGTGGAACTCCCTATGGGGCCACGAACCGTGTGATGGGTGTGCCGAAATGGGCATGCGCGGTGGGCGGGGAAGCCGCATGCAAACGCGGACACTGGGGCCTTCGGTGGAGCCCCCTATGGGGCCACGAACCGTGTGAGGGGTGTGCCGGCATGGACATGCGGTGGGCGGGGAGGGCGCACACGGACGCGGACACTGGGGCCTTCGGTGGAACTCCCTATGGGGCCACGAACCGTGCGAGGGGTGTGCCGAAATGGGCACGCAATGGGCGGGGGGGGGCATGCGGACGCCGCCACTGGGGCCTTCGGTGGAACTCCCTATGGGGCCACGAACCGTGTGAGGGGTGTGCCCGAATGTGCATGCGGTGGGCGGGGAAGACGCATGCGGACGCGGCCACTGGGGCCTTCGGTGTGGGGCCACGAACCGTGTGAAGGGTGTGCCGGCATGGGCATGCGGCGGGGGGGTTGCATGCGGAAGCGACCACTGTGGCCTTCGGTGGAGCGCCCTATGTGGCCACGAACCGTGTGAAGGGTGTGCCGAAATGAGCATGCGGTGGGCGGGGACTTCGCATGCGGACGCGGCCACCGAGGCCCTCGGTGGAGCGCACTATGGGGCCACGATACGTGTGAGGGAGTGCCGAAATAGGCATGCGGTGGGCGGGGAAGGCGCATGCAGACGCGGACACTGAGGCCTTCGGTGGAGCTCACTATGGGGACACGATCCGTGTGAAGGGTGTGCCAACATGTGCATGCGGTGGGCGGGGCGGACGCATGCGGACGCGGCCACTGTGGCCTTCGGTGGAGCTCCCTATGGGGCCGCGAACCGTGTGAAGGGTGTGCCGAAATGAACATGCGGAGGGCAGAGGCAAGGAGGGGGAGTAGGGAGGAAGGGGAGGAGGAGAGGAGAGGAAGGAGACGCGGGGCGCTGTCTCTTCAAAACGAGGGCCCAACACCACGGGATGGTCAGGAACAAGTTCAGCAATTACAAGGGTGGAGGGCAGCTCCTTTTCACAATGTCAAGATGGGGCTCGGACCATAGCGCCCCGCACAATCGGCTGAAACGGCTGCGCCAGTTACACGGTTGGGCGACGCTGTTGTTCAACATGGGGTTCTCGCTTGGCACCTCCTCAAACCCTGCGAATAGGAGCTCCAACAGATGTACAGAAGAAGGGGCCCGACCACAAGAAACCTTCCACAAGAAGCCCGACCCTCAGACCCCGGGACGCCCATTGCTTTTCGGTGGGAGCGCCGCGCTCTCCATCGCAGAACCGTCGGAAGCCGAGAGACCGAGGGCACCCTGGAGGCAAGCGGGGTGCGTCTTGACATGGGTCTCCGCTGCAGCAGCTCTGCACGGACGAAGGGCCGTTCTCAGGGGCACAATAAGTGGCATAAACATAAAAACTCGGAGGTCCGAGTTGTTATGTTTATGTCACTGTTTGTTCCCCTACTTCTCTTCATCCAGCTGGGGAAATTGCTTGAGACGTCCCCCCGGGGGCCATGACCAGGCGTCCCATGGGGGAGCGCGTTTCGTTCAAAGTGGGGATCTCGCTGCCCATGTCGTGGACATGTGTGCTCGTACCCTCTCGCGCCCCTGGCAATCCGCCAGAAAGAGGTGCCAGAGAGCGCCCGTGCCAAGCCGGGGGCCTCGCCGGAACAGCGACCCCCATCGCGTGCTGGCCAGTCGAGTGGGCTCTTCGTGTGCCGACGAGAAGAACGTGTGGGCACTCGTGCGGAAGGGGCTTGGAACGGGAGGGTGGATTGCAGCATCCCTGATGCATATTGAGTTGACTCTGGGCCTACTCCTCCTCCTCCTCCTCCTCCTCCCCTTTCCTCCTCCTCATTCTCGATCCCTCTCCGCATCCTTCTCCTTGTCCTCCTTCGTGTCCTCCTCCTGCCTCCTGCTCATCCTCCAGCCCCTGGTTCCCAAGAGAACGTTGCACACCGACCCCATCCCTCCCGTTATGCCATCGATCTCCCAGGCACGGGCACGATGCACAACTCCCCCACGTGCCAGGACAAGGTAGTATCATATGCCCTCATTTGCCCTTCCACTCATTGTATGGTCCTCCTCTGTTCCTCCTCCACCTCCTCCACATCATCATCATCATCATCATCATCATCATCATCATCATCAGCATCATCATCATCATCATCATCAGCATCATCATCAGCATCATCATCATCATCATCACCATCATCAGCATCATCATCATCATCATCATCATCATCATCATCATCATCATCATCATCATCATAATCATCATCATCATCATCATCTTCATCATCATCATCATCATCATCATCGTCATCATCGTCATCATCGTCCAAAGCTTAACCTTCACCCTCGCGCAATCCTCCTTATCCTCCTCATCTTGATACTCGTATCCTCCTCCCACTCCCCTTCTCCTCTTTCCCACCCTTGCTATCATCAGGATCGACATATAGCCGCATCATCGTCGTATCGTCATTACCATCATTATCACCATTCCTAGCTCCCAAAACTCCTCTTCATCGGCCCCTTATCGCATCATTATCCATCAGTTTATGTCGTCTCTTCCTCCTCCTCCTCCTCCTCCTACCCACTCCTTCCATCCTCCTTCTTCCAATCCTCTCTTCCTCATTATCCATCTCCCCCTCCTCACCCCCCCTCTCCGCCAACCCCAAACCCTATAGAACGCCCTGGAACACCATAGAGATCCCAAGGACACTCTAACGCCAGCCTACGTGTTGCTCTTTTTCTCATCCTGATCCTTCTCCTCCTCATCATCATCATCATTATCCTCGTCCTCATCCTCATCCTCATCCTCATTCTCCTTGTCATCATCATGAACAGCAGCATCATAAACCTCAGCATCAGCAGCCGCATCATCATGTTCATCATCCTCATTATCATCCTCATCCTCATCCAAATCCTCAGCCTCATCCTCATGCTCTCCCTCCCCCCCTCGCTAAATTGTTCGTGACAGCGGAGCTTCCCGGAGCAACGGGCAGCCCAATCCAGCCCAATCCAGCTTCCCGGAGCAACGGGCATCTGGGAACCTCCCAACGCAAAAGGGTATCCCAGAGTTCCGCTTGTACCCTCGCCAGAAAAGCGACAAACATGTTTTCAGGCGCGGAAGAGCAATGCCCGCTCGAAACATCCAGGATGTGCGACGCATGAGGCGTACAGCATCTCGGGCTCCGTCGCACATGATACTACAGCAGCTCGTAAGCGTCGGCACGCACTTTCATGTCATGTGCCACCCCAGCGGCGACCAACGCACAAGTGGACGCAACATTGTGCAACATTGCACGCGGGCAGATGTGCGTGATAAAACGAGCCCGGGGGGCGTCGAGGCGGAAACTGTTGATTTGGACCCAGTGCCGAGGGGGTGTCCACCCCTGTAGGGCGACAAGGAGGCGGTGATAAGAGACCAGGAACTTTGGAACCAAAAGACTCGTAGATGCCAGAGGCTTGTGTTGCCTAGACGAAATATAGAACTTGAAATGGTACTACAAGTGAGGTATGATCGATGCGGGTGTCTGGTCGAACATCGTGCGAATTCACAACAAGACATGACCGATGTCACTCTGTACCGTCGTGGGTGCAAAGGGATATGTAGGCGCAGCTATAGGCGGAGGCATGTGCAAATGTTTGAGCACAGGTGAACGCGAAGATGGCGTTCCATCAAAACAGGCATTGGGCAAACTACGAATGGCCCGACGGTCATCCCAATGATTGCAATAGGGCTCTAAGTGTATACGAAGACATGCACGAAACTAACACCGCATGCAGCGCACACACCTGCACGAATGCACGCCACTCGTCTCAAGACTAACAAAAGCGCATGATACGTGTATCGACCCGTCACGCACGGCGGCGCAGAGAAGACGCTGCAACCGTCCTGACTGGCGAGCGGCGCAGCGGAAGGCGCTGCTGCGCTGGAAGTCGCTGCACCGGCCGCAGGTGCCGAAGACGGCCCCAATGACTGCGTCTAGGTGCAAGCAAGGAGCACGGAATGCAGCACTGTAAGATCGCCCGCCCCCTATCACAATACACATGCGACATTGCACTCAGCTTGGCATTCGCAAGATGTCTACCGCATTAGATTGCACAGCGGTCAAAACAGTCGTCCAACATCGAAAATCTAAGCTATTGCATTGTTTCGGCGCCCGCTGTCGTGGCTGCATATATACACACCGCACTACATAGAACCATACTTATACCTGAGCGTTTCGGCACACCTCTATTTACAATAATGTAATGTTGCTTGTATAGATATAGATGCGTAGATGCATGTAGAGATGCCAGTCTCTCTCTCTCTATTTCTCTTTTTATGTGTATATGTATATGTGTATGGCACCGAGTTTGAAGAATCGCTTCGCCTCGCTCCAGTCTCGGCGAGACATCCTTTGGGGGTGCGGGCATAATCGTTGGAGTTGGCGCGGTGACGATGTTCAGTATGAAAGTACCACGAGACAGCGAGCCGAAGAGAGCGCACCTCGGGGAGCTGGGCGCGACGCAGCCCGAAGTGCGAGGCGAGGCAAGAAATGGCGCAACCGCGCGTGGATTGGGCCGGATTCAGAAAGGACAGAGAAGAGAAAGGACGAGTGAGGTGGGGGAGGTCACTAGCAAGAGGGGCACAAGTGAAGCCACTGCGCAACAGGCTAAAAACGGAAGCGCGGAGGGTTTGGGTTGGGTGGTCCCAGAGGGAGCTGCAGTGTGCCGCCGACGGGCCAATTAGGGAGCACATGGCAGCGATGACGATGACGACGGCAACGAGGAGGGGACGACGGCGACGGTTTCTTCGGGGGGGGCGATCGAGCCGTCGCTGGCAACTTGCGCAATCGAGAAGGGCCCGTCCCTCTATACAGCCCTTGCTCCACCAGGCCAGGGCCCGTCCAGACTTGGAGAGGAGGAGGAGGAGGAGGAGGAGGAAGAGGAGGAGGAGGAGAGGAGGAGAACGAGGAGGAGGAGGACGAGAAGGAGGAGAAGGAGGAGGAGGAGGAGGACGAGGAGGAGAAGGAGGAGGAGGTCCTCCTCCTCCAGAGATCCCTGGAGGCCTGGGGAGGGCGTCGGAGCTCGAGCCCCATCTTCTTCCCCCGAGCTGCTCCTCCCGTATCCCGAGAGCGGGGGGGGTGCGGCCGATCGACACCACCAGAACGGCAGGACGAGGGCGACGGAGAGTCAGACGAGGACGTCTGGCCTCGCGTGCGCTTCCGCACCGAACCAAACCACACAAGCCACCAGCTTTCCTGCGACCGCTCCGTCTGTCGCCGCGGGATGTTTTGAAAGCCTCGACGCACGTTGGCCTGGGATGGATCCGGAGGGTGAGCAGGACGAGCGCCGAGGACGTGGCCTCTCTGGAACTTCTGCGGATCGAGCTGGGCCTATCATGGGCCCGTGGAGCCGTCTTGGGACTGCCCTGGGCCTCCAGGGCCCCGTGGAGGCCGTCTGGGGGGCCGTCCTGGACCGTCTCGGGGCGTCCGGGTCCCTGCCACGGCGGCGTGGCCTCTGGTCCCTGCCACCGCGCGAGCGCCGCTGGGGGTCCCCCGCCGAGGCCGTCGGGCACCTTCCCGCACGCAACGACCGTGACCGTGCGGCGCGCTCCCAGAGGTGCGGAATCCGCAAGCGTCACCTCCTGGAGGGCCGATGCCTCTTCCGGCGGCCTTCCACCGCCTCCCGCCCGCCGCCTTCCGCCGACGAGAACCTGGCAACCTCGCGATCCCCCGAATGCGGTGCCCCTGCTGGGGCGCCCACTGTTGCCAGAAGAACATCCTGCAGGAGCATGAGGTCCTAGCCAAAACCGCAGAACCTTCGAGGGCACCCCCCCCAGGATGCCCCAAGAGCATCCAAACAAACACGAAGAACATCAGGGCACCCTCCCCTTAGCCGACCTCGCGGCCGCCGCGCCGAGACTGGCACGAGCCTGCCACGGCGAGAGGGCGCCCCCTCCCGCCGCACGCCGGGAGCCCGCCGGGAGAGCGCGCCGCGGCCTCCGGCTCGTCGTCCCCGAAGAGCTCCCGGTCCAGGGCCGTCATCTCCTGCGTCCCCATGCCCGGGGACGCCGCCATGGCCTTCCGCGGGCCCCGTCCTGGCGGGGAGGGCAGGGCAAGATTTGAGTCGGGCGTGTCCCCCTTCAGGGGGATGTTCGACGAAAAATAAAAAATATTCAAAAAATACTCCCAAATGTTCAAAAAAACATTAAAAAAGAATAATCCCCATACAATTTTTGGGCTATTTTTGAATATTCCTCCTGTAAAGGGACAGACCCGACTGAAGGCAAGATGCATCGAGCCCAGCGCGTCGTCAGCTGCGCTGCACAGGCTGCCTGCTGCACTCGCGAGCACTGGCACCACTCCAGCTCCCTGTCGATGACTGGCCAGCAAAAAACCCGGACCCTTGGGGAGGGGGCCTAAGTTAGGAGGGTCAGGAACATCAGGGACAGGGGCTCTCTTCTGCAGGTGCATCGAACCCAACCACCCGGAAGCATGATCCAGCGTGCGAGGACGGGGACCTCGGTGAGGCTGCGTCCTTATCTTGCCATTCGGATTGGGGGTTCTTTTGTAGGAGAGAGCGTGATTCACCGCCGCTTTACTGTGGAAAATTGCCGCCCTTTTCCTCCGGAACCCGGGGGTCCCCCGCCCCCCCTCCGAAAATCCCCCCCCTCCCCTAACCCCCCCCCCCTCGAGCTCGAAAACCGGGGGGGGTCACTACAGGTTCGAACCCCCCCCCTCGAAAACCGGAGCGAGGGGTCACTACCGGTTCGAACCACTGAGCTGTCCCACTGTTCCCACCACTGTCCCCACTGTCCCTACCACTGTCCCCACTGTACCTCTGTCCCATTGTCCCACCGCCGTCCTCGCCACCGCCTTCACCACTGTCCCCACCACCACTGTACCCTCCACTGTCCTACTGTTTCCTCCACATTCCCACTGTCCCCACACCACTGTCCCCACCACCACCGTCCCCACCACTGTCCCACTGTCCCCACTGTTTCCACCATTGTCCTCACCATTGTCCCCACCCACCACTACTACCGTCCCCACCACTGTCCCACTGTCCCCACACCACTGTCCCCACCACCACCGTCCCCACCACTGTCCGCACACCCCCTCGGTTTTCGAGGGGGGGGAGGGGGGTTTCGAACCGGTAGTGACCCCCCCCGGTTTTCGAGCTCAAGGGGGGGGGGGGGGTTCGAACCGGACCCCCCCCCGGTTTTCCGGAGGGGGGGTGGGGGGGAGGGGTTCGAACCGGTAGTGACCCCCCACGGTTTTCCGCTAGCAGCGGTAGAACACGCTCTTTCTTTCTGTAGGGAAACGAACTCTATACACCGACGTTTTTCCGACCCTGCGCCGAAATTCGCACAAGAACGCGGATCCTGGTCTATACGGGATCTTGGTGTATACGTGGTTCGTTGCTCCCCTTGGAAAGCAAGGGAAAAAGTATACACCACACCACCCCGACGTCGTCCCCGACCCTCAACAGGTCTTGGGACTGAAAACAACCCGCCCCTGGCAATGCACTCAAAGGCCGAGGCCGAGAGGCCGAGAGGCGGAGGAGGAGGAGGAGGAGAAGGAGGAGAAGGAGGAGGAGGCGGAGGATTAGGAGGAGGGAGGAGATTAGGAGGAGGAGGAGGAGGAGGAGGAGGAGGAGCAGGAGGAGGAGGAGGAGGAGGAGGAGGAGGAGGAGGAGTCGACAGGCCGAGAGGCCGAGGCAGGCTCCGACTCCGTCCTCCAAAGGAGGCCGAGAGGGGCCGAGAGAGCTCTCGCGGGCGCGAGCACGCGCCAGCGGGCGCCCCCCCCTGGCGCCAGCAGGCGCCCCGCCCGACGGGGGGAGGCGGGCGGGCGCGGGAGGCGGGGAGCGGGAGCGCAGGGCGCCCGGGGAGGCGCCGCGCAGGCGCCGGCACCGCGCCGGCCTGTGGGGGAAGGGGGGGGGCGCCCAGGTCGAGGGGGGCCCTGGGGCGCACACGTACAGACTTTTTGATCTGCGGGGCGAGAGCGAACCTCTTCCGCCAAAAGCTAGGCGGGCTACGCACAGCTTTCATCAGTCGGTGGGCTGCAGGGAGAAGGCCTGCCCTGCATCGCCAGCGCGTGAAGACGGGCAGGGGCACACACCCAGACAGACACACACACACACACACACACACACAAAAGGATGCCCCAGATGTTCCCAGATGTTTTGGGGATCTTCGTCTTCCCCTCCCCCCCCACACTTCCCATATTTCCCCATATTTCGGAGGAAGGGGGGGGCGCCAGGTTGAGGGGGGCGCCAGGTTGAGGGGGGCCCTGGGGCACACACAAACAAACACACACGAACAAAAGGATGCCCCAGAGTTTAACATATCTGTTTTTGGGGATGTTCGTCTTCCCCCCACACACTTCCCATATTTGTCCCCATACTTTTTTGGGGAAATCGACGACGGATTGTGTCTCTGTGAGTGTGTGTTTCTTTCCCTCCTGACAGGCGAAGCGCGAGGGGGCTCCTGGGGCCACGGCGAGCCTCGGGCGCGAGGTGCGGTGCGCACGCGCGTGGAGGACGGGTGGCAGGGACGCACAGGACCCCTGGAGGCAGAAGTGGAGAACGACAAAGGACGGGGCCGCAGGAGGCAAGGGCGAAAGGGTGCCCCGGAAAAGGCGCGCATCCTTACTGCGCGTTGACTGCAGGTCCCCCGGCCCAGAGCGCAAAGGCACGGCCCGAACGCCGGAGCCTCTCCTGAGCCCAAGGGTGACCCTTGGGTCAGCGTCTTGGCCGAGAGACTCACGCCTGGGGGGGGGGGGGCTCGGGCTTCCTCGACATGGGCCGTCCGAAAAATGGCAGGGCCTGGTCGAAAAGTATACGCGGGCTTCTGCTGCAAACAGCTGCCGAAACTGAACCGTCAGAGCTCACGCCGTGACGGTCCAAAAGCGGCGGCGAACCCAAGCTCCGGCAAACTCGAGTCCTACCCGACAGGCACAACAGGATCGACGAGAGGAAGTTGACAAGGGCACGAGGCTACTCGCAGGGTGGTCGCTCGCACATTGTGTTGGTCTCCTCGTACTGGAGGAAAGAAGTAGCCGTCCTCCGTTGGAGAGCCATTGCCCTGCGGATAGCGGCGCACAGTCTGGAGGTCGAGGTTCCCCGGCAGTCGACTTGCAAGGGACCCAAAATTGGTCCACCACTGATTCACTAAAACTACGCGCACGCTTCGCGTGCGCTTGGAAAGTGGTCCAGGGCTGAACCTACACGGTGTTTGTCGTTTTCGTTTGGTTTTCGTTTTCCCCCGCTTTTGTCTTCAATCCGCCTCTGCTGCAAAACGAAGTCGAAACGAAAACGGCCCACGAAATCACACAAAACACTGTTTAGGTCCAGCCCTGATGTGGTCCGCGTGTCAGCCATGGGAGCTGAACGCGAGACCTGCTTTGTTCGTGGCGCTGGCGGACGCGAGCGCGGCTGCAGGGCCGGAAGGGCGCGAAAACGCGTGATTACGCCGTTTCATCGACAGACGCTCTAGACAAAAACTTCGAGTGTCTGCCTTGACTCCGATCTGCCGTTCCCTCCCTCTCTTTTTACCTGCAGTGTGCGGATGAGTGCCCTGCAGGAGCGTCTCGGCAAAAGTCATTGCCCTGACAAATCTCGATTGGGACAACGCCCTGGAAACGCAACCGTGGGGACGTGTTGGCCAGTTATGCGCATTGTGCGAACGGCGATCACCTCTACCGGGTCACCCAGCACGAACGCACCACCTGCTCATGCAGCAACAACCTGCTGCTGGCTGCACCGGCACTCGTGGCAGGCACCTCACGCCGCAGAGCGCAGCAGTCTTCCCGGCCCTTTGGGAGCCCGCCTCGGGCCCCAGGGCCGCCATGAAAGACACCCGGGGACGAGACGCCAGCCCCAGAAGGCGGGGGATCGAGAGGCCCAGTGGCCGTGCGTCGGAGCGCCGGGTGTCTGGCCTGCCCGCCCCTGCGGGAGGAGGAGGAGGAGGAAGAGGAGGAGGAGGAGGAGGAGGAGGAGGGGGAGGAGGGAGAATGGAGGAGGGAGGAGGGAGGAGGGAGGAGGGAGGAGGGAGGAGGGAAGAGGGAGGAGGAGGAGGAGGAGGAGGAGGAGGAGGAGGAGGAGGAGGAGGAGGAAAAGGAGGAGGAAAGGGAGGAGGAGGAGGAGGAGGAGGTCCTCTCCGTCGCCGCTCCCAACGGCGCGGCGCCGGCCGCCCCCCCTGGGCCCCGCCTCGGAAGGAGGGCTGTTTGAGACACGCGCGGCCCTCCCGACGAGGAAGGGGGGAGAAGATTGGTAGTCCCCAAACGTGGTGGTGACAACACCTGGCGGTGAGTCTCGGGCGATTTGGTGTCACCACCCGGTTTGGGGACTCGCGCGGTTTTCCGAGGATGTCCCGGACACTGGTGGGTCCAGGAGTCACAAAACCCGGTGGTGACCCCGCGTCCCCAAACCCAGCGGTGACCTTTTTGGGGATTCCAGGTCGCCACCTGGTATCTCACCACCCGGTTTGGGGGTTCCCAACCCTGACATGCAGCGATCTGAGGTTTCAAATCCGCGGCCCTGGGGAGGTCCTGATCTCTGCCCCGGGCATGCTTTTCCGTCCTGGCTCCCGTTGTCGACGCCCGAAAACGGCCCCCGAAGGTAGAGATTGATGGAACACCGCCCACAGGATCAGAAAACACATCTGCGGAGATCTGGGGAGGAGGGACGGACGAGGGAGGAAACGAGTAGGGGAAGAGTTGAGCATCGACCGACCGTCCTGGCATTCCTATAGGCCTCTACCACGACATGTTCTTAGAACCCAAAAATGTTCTAAGAACACAAACCATGCTGTTAGAACATGAGCCCCATGTGTTAAAGCAAGACAGACTCAGCCAGAAGCGTCCTAAGAGCATGTCGTGCAAATCTCCAAAGGTTCTTAGCACATTCTTTGGTGGGCCTATAGGCAAGCCAGGATGCTTCGCGACTGCGTGAACTAGGAAACGAAAAAAAGCCATAAACATAAACTTGTGGCGCTCCGCGCGTATCTCTTGGATCCGCGCCGGGCCCCCCAGGGGCGGCGCCGGAGGCGCCGCCGGGGGGGGCCCAGCGCGCATCC